TTTTTCAATCAATCAAACAATTGATTGCAATTCATGTAAAATCAGTGATAAAATGCTAAACAATTGTCATATCATTACTAAATCTGATGATTATTTCCACTGTTTTTGGCCTAAATGTCAATTCAAAGCAGAATTTAAAAGTCATTTAGTACAACATCAATTAATTCATTCTAAAATAAAACAATTTAAATGTGATTTTATTGATTGTAATAAAAGCTTTACACAATCAGGAAATTTATTTCAACACAAAAATGCATTTCATTTAAAAGTCAAATCATTTATTTGTGATTTTAATGACTGCCACAAAAGTTATACACAAAAATCACATTTACTTCAACACAAAAGTTGTGTTCATTTGAATGAAAGAAAATTCAAATGTAATGAAGAAAATTGTGACAAAAAATTCACAACAAAACAGAGACTAAATTCACATAAAATTTGTGTTCATTTGAAGGAAAAGAGATTCAAATGTAATGAAGAAAATTGTGGCAAAAGTTTTGGCCAGAAATCACATCTAATTCGACACAAAGGCATACATTGGTGAGAAAAACCATTTATTTTCATTTTAATGAATGTAATAAATGTTTTGTTCAAAAATGTGATCTAACAATACATATGAGAAGACATCTGAATATAAAACTTTATAATTGTATTCATAATTACTGTAATCAACGGTTTGTTTCGTCGAGTGATTTGAGGGCACATATCAAGCACAAACATAAACATGTTTAATTTTATTTTATATTATTATTTTTACGTACTTTGTAATACCCTAATAAGTGAAAAATAAAATTAATTAAAATCAATTTATTCAAAATATAGTCAATTAATTTATTCAACAATTTCTTATTATTACAAATAATAAACTTTTATAATATACAAGATGTAAGGCATAAGAATGCTATTGTTTACAATTTATTATAAAAGTACAAATTTCAGTAATAATTAATACTTTAAAGTGTAATTAAAGTTTAAATTTTATTTGATTAAATAAACAACAATATATATTGTTAATAGTTAAAATAGTTAAAATTTAGAAATTAGGTAAAATTATTTACAAACGTCACTTTGCAAACTTAATCACGTGATCAAAACATGTCCAACCGCTCAGCAAATGGATCTCCTTCTGGGGAACCGTTTGAAGACATACTAGACTTTGAGGCACCGGTAGATCCGACAAGTTTCCACCCGACCCTATTCGACACAAACCCCGACCAACATATACCCGCACCGCTACTCGTACCACAACAGGTGCTATACGGTTACGGCCCGGCCTATACCAGACCCACACAACCCCAGCCCCTGTACTCAACCGAATTGGCCGCGTCTGGCATTTTCGGCCCACCGGTCGGTCAGGCCGTACCCGCCGGACACACACCGGTGCGCCGCCGGTACCGCTCAGCGTCATCGCCACCAGACATACACTACGGTAGAGACACACCACCCCTGCAGGTAAGCCCCGAGCAGTCAACCGGCGCCTATCCTATCCGGTCTGCCATTCAGTACTGGGAAAATCTATCCACCAGTAGTGGTAGCGGTCGACAGTCGCCGTCCACACCGAACATATCGCCCAAACGGTCCCGACTGGACAGCCCTACTACGGCCGTAAAGGTGTCTGAGTTGCCACCGGTGCCCGTCCGGCGCCCATTCACACCGCCATCCGTGCCGTACGCTGAGCTCCGTAGCGTACGAGTGGCCAATCCGGCCGATCAGTTGGACAGGGCGTACGCTGAGGCCGAGGGTGGGGCCGAAGGTCCTGGCAGTTGGTCGGGTGAGTTGCACGTCAGTAGTGCCGACGATGGCCAACGTCGGACTGATCAGCAAAAGAGGACCGGAATATACAGGAGCTGAGCCGTAGAGGACTGGACATTGATCTGGACGACGAGCTCGGGTCGGGCGAGTTTGGCACAGTCTACAGGGGCCGCTACAATGAGCAAGTAAGTTTTAAATAGTTGTAATGTGGTTATTATGGTATTTTATAGTTTTTGTTTTGCATCTAGATTGTAAACATTGGAGGCAAAGGCCAGCGATATTTGTTGGGTGTAAAACCTGATGAGAGGTTTGCGGCCAAATCGGTACAGTTCTATCCCTACAGCGAACTGTCCTTCCGGTTGGCCCACGAGGTGGAGAAATGTGTGTTCAAATCGCTTCGACACCCAAACATTGTGTCCTATCGGTTGGCCATAAATCTCGGTAAACACCGAGTGCTCAGTAGGAAATCGGGCCAATCAGATGACGGCACAGAGGGTCCGACCGGTAGGGATATTATTAGCTACGACCGGATGTTCCTGATCATGGAGCTCAGCGATCGTGGTTGTTTGCACGACTTTTGGCGTAGCAATGAGTTTAAGGAGTTTGCCGCACCCCTGGCCATCCTATTCATTCAGCAATTGTGCTCCGGTATGTATAAACTCTTATTCTCTCTCTCTCTCTCTCTCTCTCTCTCTCAACAAACAAAAATAATTATTTATTTCCCAAAACTTAAGCCATGGCTCATATGCAAGACATAGGGGTCGCCCATCTGGACATACATACAGGCAATGTGTTGGTATTCAGCGGCGGCGCCGCCGGTCAGTACGCGGCCAAGTGGTCTGACTTTGGCACCGGTGTGTCCCGGGATCTATACCGGGGTTGGGGAGTGACTATACCGGCCGATCACATGCACGCTATAGAATGGTATAGAAAATTATTTACAAACATCACTTTGCAAACGTAATCACGTGATCAAACCATGTCCAACTGGTCAGCACATGGATCCCCTATATAATTTTAAAATGGTGCTTACATTTGTAAAAATATAAAACTCTGGCAACTGCTCCAACTTTAACCACTTTCTATTGTATAATGTAAATACATTCTTATACTTCATTAACACATAATATAATCACATGATTGAAAACATGATAACATTATTTGATAAACAGGTTTTCACTATCAATGAGAGCACGTGTTGTAAACGACAGTATTTTTTAGACATTTTGTGATAAATAGATATTTGATTCACATTAGGTTTTGCATAAAGTTGTTATTTACTTACATTTTATGTGATTTGAATTTAATTTTATTTAAAAATGTGTTCAAAATTAATGAGTGTTTCGTTGATTGAAATGAAGAGTAAATTCAATGCAATGAAGAGTTTGTGTGGAATAATAGACAAANAGACAAAATTCAGTGTATTTTGAATACAAATAATAGTGTTTTGTGTGAAGCGATTGAATGCGAAAATAATGATTATTTTTCAATCAATCAAACAATTGATTGCAATTCATGTAAAATCAGTGATAAAATGCTAAACAATTGTCATATCATTACTAAATCTGATGATTATTTCCACTGTTTTTGGCCTAAATGTCAATTCAAGACAAAAATTAATTGCAATTTTACTCGACATCAATTAATTCATTCATCAATAAAACAATTTAAATGTGATTTTAATAATTGTGATAAAATTTTTGCACACATTAACAGTTTATTTCGACACAAAAATACCGTTCATTTAAATGTGAGATTTATTTGTGAATTCAATAAATGCCACAAAAGTTTTAGTGAAAGACAAAGTTTAAAACGACACAAAAGTTGTGTTCATTTGAATGAAAGAAAATTTAAATGTAATGAAGAAAATTGTGGCAAAATATTTACAACAAAATACAATTTAATTCAACACAAAAGCATACATTCGGGAGAAAAACCATTTGTTTGTCATTTTAATGATTGTAACAAAAGATTTTACAGAAAATCTTGTCTTAAAGAACACATGAGAAGACATTTGAATTTAAAAAGCCATAAATGTATTCATAATAACTGTAATCAACGGTTTGTTACATCGACTGAATTGCATCAACATATTAGGCACGGACATATTTAACATTATTAACATTATTTATATTTTATATTATTATTTATACATTTTAATCCTGTAATGATTGAAAAATAAAATTACAAAATATGTCCAATTAATACAATTAAAAATAGCTTACTATTACAAATAATAAACTCTTATAATATGCTTAAAAATTAAAGGTTTTATACAGTACAAAATTATAAACAAAATTAATTAACATTATTAACAAATATCATAGTCGTTACAATATTTATTAATCCATACTAGCATATTACCCGTCCTGTAATCATTATATTTTGATCAATTAGATGACCCTGTTATTTCAAACCTACGCTACTCACCCCTGACTACATACCTAACCTAACCTAACCTAACTTAACCATAACTTAATACAATAGTCAATAACATAAACATGATAAATTGCGAGTTAAAATTGCTTATGGAAGGCTTGGATATATTTTCAAAGGCGTTAGCTATATCTGGTTGGCCAGGTCAGGGTATATTGCCTGTGGCGTTGGTTATACTCGGTACACGTAAGTACATTTGCAAAGCAATTGGTTATACCTTACCGTCATCCAATAATTTCCCGAGGCGTTGGTTATACATGGAAGGCTTGGGTACATTGCCCGTAGCATTGGTTATATTTGGGAAACTTGGGTACGGTGCCCATGACGTTGGTTTTACCTGGGTGGCTTATGTACATTGCCAGTGGCTTTGGTTATACCTGGTACCCATGGGTACATTGCCTGTGGCGTTGGTTATACGTGGTACCAATAGGTACATTGGCCAATGCATTGGTTACACTTGGGGAATGTAGGTACATTACCCGCGGCGATGGTTATGCCCAGTACTCGTATGTACACTGGCCAAAAGATTAGTACAATAGGTAGGGCGTAAATATTTACCCGTAAAAGAAATGAGAGATGCATTGGTATAATGGGATGTACTTTAGCAATAATGTGAGACATTATGCATATATTGGGCATAACTGTTAAGTACCAAACCCGTCAATACAATGGGGCTCATTTTGGTACAGTTTGCCACACGTTAGGGAAATCCCTGTAATATATCTGAGGCTTAGAAGGGGGATGTTTAAAATGATTTACTTTGTTTTCTCAATGGGAATTATGGCCAACAATCACAGCCCCACGCGCTTGCACTTTGGGCCCAAAATCCCTTTTTACAACAATGAAAATCTCCGCGCGCTGCCATTTTCCGTTAAAAATAAATCAATTAAATTGCAAACTATTGTTTCATGCCCTCCATTTATATTGTTATGCGTACAGATCACAAACATAATTTAATTAATATATAGGATTGATAAATTTTAACAACAATTAATTATAAAAATACAAACTTAAATAATAATTAAAATTTTAGAGTTTAGATTGAAGTAATTTGATTAAATTATCAACAATATACTTTAACATGATAAAATTAGATAAAATTCTTTACAAACATCACTTTGCAAACTTAATCACGTGATCAAAACATGTCCAACCGGTCAGCACATGGATCCCCTTCTGGAGAACCGTTTGACGATACACTAGACTTTGAGGCACCGGTAGATCCGACAAGTTTTTACCCGACCCTATTGGACACAAACCCCGACCCACACATACCCGCACCTCTACTCGTACCACAACATGTGCCATACGGTTACGGCCCGGTCTATACCAGACCCACACAACCCCAGCCCCTGTACTCAACCGAATTGGCCGCGTCTGGCATTTTCGGACCACCGGTCGTTCAGGCCGTACCCGCCGGACACACACAGTGCGCCGCCGGTACCAATCGGTGTCATCGCCACCGGACCTACACTACGGTAGAGACACACCATCCCTGCAGGTTAGCCCCGAGCAGCCGACCGGCGCCTATCCTATCCGGTCTGCCATTCAGTACTGGGAGAGTGTGTCCTCCAGTAGTGGTAGTGGTCGACAGTCGCCGCCCACACCGGAGATATCGCCCAAACGGCGCCGACTATACAGCCCTACTGCGCCCGTAGAGGTGTCAGAGTTGCCACCGGTTCCTGAACTGCCCGCCCGGCGCCCATTCACCCCACCATCCGTGCCGTACATACAGCTCCGTAACGTACGAGTGGCCAATCCGGCCGATCAGTTGGACAGGGCGTACGCGGAGGCAGAGAGTGAGCCTAATATTGGTGTTGGTGCCAATTGGTCGGGCGAGTTGCACGTCAGTAGTGCCAGTGATGGCCAACACAGAACTGATCAGCAAAAGGAGGACAGGTATATACAGGAACTGAGCCGTAAAGGGCTAGACATTGATTTGGACGATGAGCTCGGGTCGGGTGAGTTTGGCACAGTCTATAGGGGCCGATACAATGAGCAGGTTAGTTTTTTGAGTAATTTTTAAAGTAGTTATTATGGTATTTTATAGTGTGTGTTTTGCAACTAGATTGTAAACATAGGGGGCTTAAGCCAGCGGTATCTGAAGGGTGTGACTCCTGGTCAGGGGTTTGCCGTCAAATCGGTACAGTTCTACCCCTACAGCGAACTATCCTTTCGGTTGGCCCACGAGGTGGAGAAATGTGTACTCAAATCGCTCCGACACCCAAACATTGTGTCCTATCGGTTGGCCATTAATCTCGGTAAACACCGAGTGCTCAGTAGGAAATCGGGCCAATCAGATGACGGCACAGAGGGTCCGACCGGTAGGGATATTATTAGCTACGACCGGATGTTTTTGATCATGGAGCTCAGCGATCGTGGTTGTTTGCACGACTTTTGGCGGACCAAGGAGTTTCAAGAGTTTGCCGCACCCCTGGCCATCCTATTGATTCAGCAATTGTGCTCCGGTATGTATGAATTCATATTCTCTCTCTCTCTCTCTCTCTCTCTCTCTCTCTCTTTTGCTGATCAGTTCTGTGTTGGCCATCACTGGCACTGCTGACGTGCAACTCGCCCGACCAATTGGCACCAACACCAATATTAGGCTCACTCTCTCTCTCTCTCTCTCTTTCTTTCTCTCTTTCTCTCTCTCTCTAACAAACAAAACTAATTATTTATTTCCCAAACCACCAAAACCTTTAAGCCATGACTCATATGCAAGACATAGGGGTCGCCCATCTGGACATACATACAGGCAATGTGTTGGTATTCAGCGGTGCCGTCATTGATAAGTACGCGGCCAAGTGGTCGGACTTTGGCACCGGTGTGTCCCGGGATTTATACCGTGGTTGGGGAGTGACTATACCGGCCGATCACATGCACGCTATGATGCGTAGGGACACCATTGAGTTGGCCTCAGTTTGCAAGGGTTTGATAGATGTGTGTCCGACACATGAAGGCGTGGACCCCGGGCTCTGGCAGCACATGCAGGCACTGGTGGGTGAGTTGAAACAAGCGATGCAACCATTGGGTGATATACTCAAAAAGTATACTTTTTCTCGGGGTTAGGGAGTTTTGGTGTAGAAGTTATGCACTGTTTAATTTGCAGTAAGTTTTTTAGTTTTTTAGATAATAAAGAGTTATCAATTGTAGTACAGTGTAACTTTACTAATCAGGTAAAATCGTATGCACAATTCATAATAATTTACTTTTTATGATCAGAAATAGATAGAAAACACCCAAATTATTATTCAATACAGACTAATTTTAACGTTTACTATTAAGCCTATTAATTTAACTTGACTTTTAAAAATCATAGATCAACTAAATGTAATTAATCGATAAATAAATTATGATTTGTCTCACTTTGTCTGTCTCATTTTGTGTAAAAAACCATCCAATATTAATTTATTATACATGCTCATTTCGTTCAATCCTAAACCATCCGAGTCATTTCTGGGATCCTAGTCACTTTTAAATTATCACAATTTATTTTGTTTAAAAGAAACATCAACAATAAATTTCAAAATTTATCTAAAAATATAACACGGTAAAATTGTTGAACAAATCAAAGTTTATTATGATAAAAATTATTAAAATTACTCACAACTAACTTCAATGTCCAGGAGATCCAGAATTCAAGCGGACTTTGGCGTCCCATCGGGCGAACCATTTGGCGATACACTAGACATACAAACACCGGTAGACCCGACAAGTTTCCACCCGACCCTATTGGACACAAACACACCGGTCATACCCGGAGCCATACTCACACCACAACAGGCTCCGTACGGATACGCACCGACTTATACTAGACCCGCGTCACCCACGCCCCTGTACTCAACCGAGTTGGCCGCGTCCGGCATTTTTGGGCCACCCGTCGACCCGGAGTACCCGATTGAAAGTCCAGCCCAGAGTCTGACACCGGCCACACCTGTACGCCGGTATCGATCCGTATCATTGCCGACCGTATTATACACTACTGGTACCGATGATCAGTACGGCACCGATGAGCCCATACCAGGCCTTCTCACCCCTGCAGGACAGGGCCTCAAACGCTGGCAACCGGTCGGCGCAGCCCCTATCGCTTTGCCGCCCACTCCGGACACATCACCCGCAGGCGGCGTGTCATCGGTCTCGGCATCGCCTGTGGCCGACACCCGGCGTCCATTCACTCCGCCGTCCGTGCCTTACGATCAGCTCCGGGACGTTAAGGTCACCGATCCGTTGCAAATGCTGGACATGGCGTACGACGAGGCGTCCGGGTATGGGTCAGATGCTGGCGGTGGAAATGTGGGTAACATTTGGTCGGGTGAGTTGCATATTAGTAGCGATGATCAGGGCAGCGATGATGATGATGACCAGGATGCTCTACGTGATGCAAAAGTGGACAGGTATGTTCTGCAGCTCCGGGATTACGGTCTAGACATTGATATGGACAACGAGTTGGGATCGGGCGCGTTTGGCTCGGCCTACCTGGGCCAGTACAACGAGCAGGTTAGTTATAAATAGTTGTTACAAATTATAAAGTTATTTAAAACGATGATGTTTAATAACCTAGATTGCAAATATCGAGGGCCAGAAATACTTGCTCGGCGTAACCCCTGGCCAGGGATTCGCCGCCAAATTTGTCCGGTTTTCGTCGGACACCGATTTGGACACCCGATTGGCCCACGA